TTTTTTTTTTTTTTAATGTATTATTTTTTTCCAATTGGCCCTTTTGCGCTAATGTTTGGCACATGTACCCCCGAAATGTGGAGACAAAAAAAAAAAAAAAAAAAAAAAAAAAAAACTTAGTACCGAGTCAACAGGGTATAGTTTAGGACCTAGCAAATGGAAGAAATCGGTCGAAGGATTTGTTCTTTTATGTTTTTATTTTATTCTGTTGTATAATTGTATGTTTAGTTTATTGTACCGTGGAGCTTTTTTCAAACTATAAATAATTAGTTAACCCCGTGAGAAGGTTATTGCGACTTGTAAAAGTAAAGAGATGGCTTCCACACGCGGTTGGATTAAATTTGTCATCAGCGTTTGACGCAAATTTGAGCGATAGTGACGGGTGCGGTTTCTTGCATATTCTTCTTGCATTTTGACATTGGAGTAGGTTTATTGCACCTACGCAGGTAACAACCACACGCTGAATTTTTTTTTTTTTTTTTTTTCTGGGGCTTGTTTATCCCTGTTGTTCTTGTCACGGATAAAAATAATTCTGTATCTTTTTCTAATTGTATACTTTCTTTTGTTAGAAAAACAGATTTGCTGATTGATCGACTACTTTTTCTATCCCCCCCTTTCCCAAAGCAATGAGCGCAAAATCAACATTTAAAAAATATCTCTTATAGAACAGAACAGTTGTCATTTTTAGAACAAAAAAAAAAAAAATAATTAACGTTTCTAGAGCAAGGGAACGTATGACATTTTTGCGTTAAAAAAAAAAAAAAAAAAAAAAAAGCATAATTTTTTTAATAGTAATTAAAATTACAATTTCTACTTTTGTTCGTCATTTAGAAAAGAAATAAAAAAAAAAAAAAATGTTTTGATAAAAAGAAAAGGAAGCTGAGGTGACTAACCAGGATTGTTGAACATCTGTGTCGTTGTACGGTTACTTCGAATTTGAACGAAGGTTGCACCGGACTCCTACGCAGATATTGCATGCTCGTGTTGGTCTCTGTGTATCATTTTTAAGCGTGTTTATTCAAGCACCGGTTGCTTGACTGCAGATCATTAGCAAAAAGAGGTCCTCTAGTGTTTTATCATTATATCTCTTTCATACGCAAACAATTTTTAATTTACATTTTTTGCGTGTGCTTCTGTTAACAACTATGGATCCCCAGCCGCCCAGAAGCAACACGAACCCGTTTGTTGACAGTGAGTGTGGGGAGGAGCGCGTGGGGGTGCCACATGCGTACCCTGCTAACAATGCCACTAATGTTGCCATTTGGCTCCCGACCGCTATGGAAACCCCAAACCGTATGACACCTCCCCCCCCGTCGCATTTTCCCCTCCTTCAGGTACAGAAGACTCCCCCGGTAGCGAGAGTAACCCGGATGTCAACCCCGTGAACTTAAACAATTATGATTTGGGGAATAATCAACGGGTAGAAGCCACCCAAGGGGATGGTTCCAGCACCCACGTGGATTACAACACGGGTTTGAACTCCGATCCTAACGACGTTCCCAATGGTGCCCCCCCTAGCGGTGTGCCCAACTATGGCTTCATCTACGGAGCTAACTTGGGTGCACTGAGCGGAGAGAATTTCAGTGCCCACTTGGGCGCAATGGAGCATGTGCAAGGGCAGACCACTCCATACCTAATAGACAGCTACAGCATTTCGTACGTCATGCAAGCCATGGCATTGGTGACAGCGATTTTTCTGAATGTAAGTAGAACGTACCCCGTGTGTGTGTGTGTGGGGGGGGGGGGGTGAGGCGTGTTTTTTGGCCAAGATATATGTACCCGGATCGGTGCACGAATTTGGAGTTTCACCCCGCCACTCTTTTCCACTCCGCAGGTGGTCTTCATGAACAGACACATGCTGACGCAAAACATCACGAAGAGCGAATTCGATGAAGCAGTGTTGGGCAATCATTCCACGGAAGAGATCACCCCCGTGCAAGAGACGACACCAATAGCTGAGATAACCCCCGTGCAAGAAACGAGCCCCATAGAAGAGATCACCCCCGTGCAAGAGACGACCCCCATACCAGACATAACCCCCGTGCAAGAGTACCAGCCACAGAACGAAATCCTGTACTCCCCAGTGTACAATGAATGGGACAATGATGACAGCGCCACACAGCCCCTTTTGGCTGATGAGTACTATGTGTACGAACCCTTGTCCCCACAAGAAGGTGAAGAGGATGATGGTAATATGTCCCCCGAAGAAGGAGAGTATCTAGTCTACGAGGCAGAAATAGAAAATTTAATGAACATGTCTTATGAGCACCATCGAGATAGCTACACAGCGAACCTATTTGATGAGCTAAACAACCAACTCATGGAATCCAACAATGGGGCTCAGAGGACAACATACCAGCCACCAAACTATGGGGAAATATTTGAAGCAGCCCAATTTGCTGATTTGTACCGATTGGCCAATAACAACCCTTACCTGTTAAGCGGCAATAACAACTCTGCTAGGAACAGAGACGTGGACAGAAATAATTATGGCTATGCGCATGCACCTTATGCAGATATATTTAGGCACCCTAATTACGCGAACATGTATCGAGCTACTAATGCGCCCATTAATGTGTCCTTGAATAGAAGGAATGAAACTAATTTGAGAAATGCTAATTGTTGTGCTGCAAATGACTCCGAGGGTGATGTGAGTGGTGCGAGTGGTAGTGACGGCAGTGGCAATGTCAACCTTGGCGAAGAGAACATCGCCTACGGCTACGACGAAGCTCAGTTTCCGGACAGCTACCAAGAGAACAATTATGACATTACAGAAGAGGAAGAAATGGATGGATCCTTTTGAAAACGTACCCCTAGATGACGCATTCGAGGTTGGAACTTTTTATGGAGAGGAGGATGCTACTGCTGCTACTACTACAACTAGCGGTTCGTCTTCCCAAGGACATACTGTATGTGCAGAGGGAATGACTAATGGTGGCTTTGAATTTAACGAAGGAGAGATAATGCCTAGGGACACACAGAAAAGAACGAACCTTGTTCTTCCTCCTCAGGAAACACCTTTCCACACAGAATCGGTGAGAAAGCACTATCATGCGAGATGACACTGCTGCTGATCATCATGTATCCCCTGAGGAAGAGAACTTTGAAGCGGAAACACAACAGTGAAGTGAGCGAAAAGAGTCAAGCAATGGGACACTCCTACAATGAGGAGGAAGAAGAAGATTGTATATAATATCAGATGATAATATGCATTTAGTGAATGTGGAAAAATACTTATATGCACAATCGAGCAGAAAAAGGAAGAGAAGAATTGCCAAAACAGAATAAGAAGATATTTGCACAAATATAAACAGATATCAAAGGGTGACAAAAATGAAGAGCTGGAAAATGGACTTGTCTCAGATGTTATTTCCCCACAGGAGGAGGAATCCTCGGGAAAAGGGGAGGGGAAGTCCAATGATTATTCGTCCTTCACCTAAAAAGGTAGACAATCTTAAGAAGCATCCCCTACGCATGGACAGTGATAACAAGTACGTCTATTATGAGGGAGAAAATGGTTTAGAATTGGATGTTGACCCTGGAAGTAGTGGAAGAGTTGATTGAGACAAACGAGTTGGAGACCACGCTAGGCCAGGCAAACAAATCAGGACGAAAAGTTAAAGTGCACGAAAATGAATCCACGGAAGAAACCCCAAACGATGCTGCAATTGATAAGTAAAAGGGGTGAGACAAACCTTTCGTGTTACAGGCAAAATGGAGAGAGAGAAAAAAAAATACTTATCTTATCCCCCAACCCATCGGGGTGCACTTTTAAACAACTCAATTTTGTAATATCTCGCTTGACCCACTATCCCATTTTTGGTATCCACATCTAAATGTGTTGTAGATATTTCTTCACCCACGTGATGAATTTTTATACATATCTCAGAATAATCCGTCTCCAACTCTCCCTACCTTTGCATGATTGATTTATATATTTGTGTTATCACCCTTTTTCGTATTGTCTTTATGTTTTTTTTCATTTTTCATGTTCTTTCAACCTTCCTTTTGTGTTTTCACCATGCTGTGCATCTTCACCAACTTAAGTCTTTTTTTTATGTGTATGCTTAGGTCTATGTGCCCCCCGGGACACACACGCCTTCATATACTATGGTAGCATGCACTTTCTGCTCCCCATTCGTTTTTATATTTTTTCGTAACACTAATGCTGTACTAACGCATGATAATATCACATTAAGCTTTTTTTTTTTTTCCGATTAATCTGTAAAGTTAGAAGTTCCGTTTGGAGCAGGACATTTTAGACGCATTGGTTTGGGGTAGGTAGTTCCTTTTTTCACGTTTCCGAAGGGATGGTTCTCCCATGAGCTTCGTTTCTTTTTCACCCATTTGCTCTGAATATTTTTTTTCTTCCACTTTTTTTGGGAAGGGATAAGCATAACAGCCATGTTAACCTGCCATAGGGGTGAAGTAGGTCAAGTCTAATGTAGAGGACAGCACAGGGATGGGAAGAATTAGGAGGACCTTAAATATTTACCTTAACATGCATACAAGTGTGTGATATGGATTATTTACTGTCCCCAAGAAACATCGGCTGCGGGCCCTTTCTCAAATGGAGCATAAAAATAGCAGACAATCGTGGTCCTTTCCTTCGCGCAGGGATGTAAAAAAGAAAAGATGAAAAATTTCCATTTATTATGAATAGCGTCATTTGAAAGTTTAAAAAAAAAAAAATTTAATTTAACATTTGTAAAAAGTGCGCGTCTCCCGTTTGCGTGGGGGATGTTGTTTTTACCCGATTAAAGCTTTTGTGTTAGTGACCAAAGATGAAAAAGCTGTAATCCCACAAATGGGCACATTGGAGTGGGGGAAACAAAATTACAACTGTAGTGACTGACACGTGAGAGAAAATCCTGGAGGGGATAGAAACGATGGCGGAATAATTGCAAATCCGTTCGTATGCATGACCGAGGGGAGTTGTCACATTGGTGCACACAGGGGGGTAGAGTGATTAACATGTGCAAGCGGATAAGGGAGTATATATTCCGCTTGGGTACCATCGCGAAACACAAGACGATGAAACTCCTTTTTTTTTTTTTTTCTCAAAACAGCTTTATAAAACTTAAAAAAAAAAAAACAAAAAATTTAAAGTCTATATACTACACTGCGAAAAAAAAGAGGACAAATCAGCGTAGTGTGTTAAATCAAAAAGCAGACATGGGGAAAATAAAATAAAAAAAAAAAAAAAAAAAAGGACGCCTGTGTGTTTATATATTTATGATTGGGAAAATCCCTGGACAGTGAACCTCCGCCACTGCACGGTGGGATGTGATAGGCCCAAGGGGTAGGGTTGTGGGGTGGCAACGAAGAAAAGAAAAAAGGATGTCTTCCGATGGACGGACATACCACCACGCATGGGTATATGCGGAACGATGGAGATATGCCTCCCCTTCCCCTGGCGTCCACTCGAATGCTCGCTCCACTGTGGACTCAAATGGTCGCTCCAGTGTCAACTCAAATGGTCGTTCCAGTGCCAACTCATATGGTCGTTCACAGGACCGCTCAGATACCCCAACACGTCTGCCCTAATACGTATTCGTTATTGGAACATAATTGTAAACACCTCTCTTGTCCACGTTATCCTCATAAAAAATGATATCTCTCTGGTTTAAGAATTGTTCGTCATCATCGAGGTCTTCGAACATGGATTCGTTGTCAACGTAGAATAGACTGCTATTGTCCTGAACAGCCTCAATTTCCACTTCTGTCAAGACGGGGGGTGGTTCCACAGATTCCTCAGTTTCTCCCTTTTGTGCAAATTGTTTGTTGTTAATTCTGGCCATAAGTCCCTCCTCATAATAACCTTCATCCTTGGCTCTGTCGTAGGCCCTTCTAAGCGATTTGAGGAGAACATCTGCGGTAACTTTGTTGTACATTCTTTTTATGAATGTGTTCACATAATTTTCGAGGATGCTGTAGAATCTGTCAAAGATACGGAAAGTGTTTCTCAGGAGGAAAACAACGTTGTCGTAAAAGGCATACCACCTTAGAAGTGTAAAAATGAAGAATGTAATTGACAGGGAGTGGACCATTCCCACTAAAATAATTCCACTGATTCTATGCGTCTCTGGCTTTTCTTGTGGAGCAACAGTTGTGAGGCCTTCCGTTTGCTTGGACAGTTCTTCACCCAGTGGGTTCGGGAAGAACAAATGGTTACGCATGAATATGTTTCCACCGGTATATATGGACAGGTAAGGAATATATTGCAAGATCTGTGCTCCCTCTAATCGGGATCCGTAGTATGTCTCCCAGAAGGATTTTCCCGCTGCCGCTTCCTTCATCTCTATTTGGATCTTCATGAAGAAGGCCGCCACGACGAGGGGTATATACTTTTTGTCAAGAAACTTCATCGCCTTGTGGAAGACGTAAGAATTCGCACTGGTCATAGATTGATAATCGCAGAGTATACTCAAATTATTCAAATTGTATAGAGCAAACAGCTCGGATGCCAGTTTATACATGTTGGCGAGCACAAAGGTCTTTCCGTACTTGAGCTGAACAACAGGCTTTTTTATAAACATGGGGAAGAAGACATTTAAAATACTATCAAACATACTTCCATAGTACACATACCTAAACTTGAGTGCTGGTTCTTCATCCACTGCTAGACCGAGCATGCTTGCATTTCCAAATTTTCTGTCTAGCTTGTTTATGTGTTTGCTTATGCGTGTAATGAACATCATTTGAAATAGGGAGTACATGGTTTTTTCGTAAAATCGGGATGCCATGGACAAGTGTATTTCTTCCTCCCTTACATCCTTTCTCAGCTTGGAGTAGTCCTGGCGCACGTTGAAGAAGAAGATATTGTTCATACTCTGCGGGGGGGAGGAGGGCGAACAAGAGAATAAAAAAGGATTGGTTGATTGGGTGGAGAAGCGAATGATAGAGGTTTATCATGGCGTGCAGCACACGTGGTTTCGCATGCGTAGTGTGCACTCTTTTACTATGCACTCACTATGTCGTCGTTCCTTCTGTGCGAGAAGAAGCTGTATTGGATTTTCCTGAAGAGCAAGCGAACAGTCTGCAAGAAGGACATCTCGGTGAAAATGGCTTGGTTCATCTGATAGATCACGTACAAGGATTCCACAATTTCCTTGAGGTAGACCTTGTTGAATGTGTACCCATAGATCAAACCGAACTTGTAGAAGTTCAGTGGGTTTCCAAAGATGTTATGAAGGAAGTAGTGCACCTTTTGCCTTATGATAATGGATTTAGGGGTAGCACCGAAAAATTTTCTCAACAGCATAATATCTCCAATGAAGTAAATTTGTTCAAAATTCTTTAGATAGAGTTCATATGAATCTCTGAGTAGCATGATTTTGTTACTTATGTTGTATGTTCCAAAATGTTTGAACAATGTCTTGACGTGTTTTTGGTTAAAATGATTGATAAAGGATTGCTCGATGATTTTCTTCAAGTGCAAGGTCCACTTACTATACTTGGGAGCTATGAATTGTCCCTTCTTTTGTTGCTCTGGCATGTTATACCTTCCTTTTGGGTGTTCGTAGTTTATTAAGGGAAAGCTGTACATGTAATTGGAGAACCATTCGGTGAACTTGCCTTCGATATTCATGGTCAAGGCAAATGGATGTTGCTGGCCTACAGGCGTTTCGTTTAGGTAATAAAAGAAGTCCATCTGTAGCACGGAGTTCACATGGATTATGAATTTGATACACTTCTTCATCTTCTCTATCGTTTCTTCGTCAATCATCTTTTCGAGCTCTGTGATGGGGAGCAAAGAGGGGACGTGTTTATGGGATGTTAAAAAGTTGGTAAATCAACGATCGCTTTGGAAGTTGTATGTGTGGTATATGTGGCGGAGGGGCCTAACTGGGTGTTTTCCTTTTCTGTCTCTGAACCCTAAATCCACGTGTACACAAAATCATCCTGTTTTTCCTCGGTGCATGTTACCTTTGAGCAGGTTAACTGCCTCGTATTTCCTCGTGCGGTTGGTGATGTACTTCTTCAAGTAGGACGGATACCAGTGGTACGTCACGATACTTTTATTCCGCTCGTCCTCATCTTTTATGTCCAGGTACATGGCGTTGGATATACTGTACTGCCCAATATCTGAGGTGTGTGTGTGTGTGTGGGGGGAGGGCGGAAGGAGGGTGAAGGAAATGAAAAGACTATGATGAGATGGATGAAGAAAAAGGGCGCGTAGTGTGACATACTTGTCCCGAGGGAAGAGCAGGTGGAACTTGTACCCAAGTGCTACGCATCTGCACTAGCTGAGTACACACAGCTTTGCTGTTTAATGAGTATCCCCCCCTCAGAGACAATGTTTCTTTTCTCCCCCTGTGCAGTTACCTTTATAAGTAGTCATCCTAAACAGCAAGAGGAACGTAAACCAGTTGAGATCGTGCATTAGGAAATTGTTGTACTCTTCATATATATTCATAAATCTGATCAGATGGCTTACGATGTTCACCTTGAGCAACTTTGTCATATATCCATTGTACTTTTGTAACATTGACATACTGTCCTGTACTTGGTCTGTACGTGGATGTGGAGGTTGGGGGGGAGAGGAGCAAGTTTGTACAGTGGCGTAAAAAATAGCACAAGATTGGTGAAGAGGAATTATAGGGAAGTGAAGCAGCAAGGTTAGGCGATTTCCTATGTATGAGCAAATGACGCCGCAGAAACGGACGCTTTCTTGTGCACACTTACTGTTAATGTAGAAGAGGGTTCCTTCACATATGACACACTTGGAAGAGTCGAACTTTTTGTTTCTAAACATGGAACCGAGTCTAAAGGTTATGGATTTGTTCTGCATAGACCAACTGTAGCACATGTCGACACCTGTATGGAGTTTAGTGTGCGGGGAGCATATGAGGAGAGAGTCAGCAATGAATTTCTATTTTTGCGTGAGAGAGGGATGTCATTGTGGAGCATGCAGCTGGGGACAGGCTGTTCGATATGCCGTGTTTTTATGTTTACATTTCACGAGGTTATCAGAGAGTTCCTTCATCGACAGGTTATCTTCGTAGGCCAATTGTATCGCTGCAAGGGTGTGTGTGGGGGGGGGGAGGGGGGCGTGGATGATAATGTTTGTTCAGGTCAGTGTGCAGGGTGACTTTCCTTATGAGGCATTTATGCGAAAAGTGCTACACACACGATGTGTATGAGTGGGGATTGTATGACCCTTTGGTTGGTTTTCTACGCAAAATTTGCTATGCGTGTTTTTTCTTATTTATTTTGTGTTCCCTTTTGTGGTGTGCGCCTTTACCGTTGTAGTAGCCTGGGAGGTAGAGGGACCCGGCATAGGCACCCATGTCTCCATCTGAAGTAGGAGGAGAAGTGACGAAGATGAGAGAGGGAGGCACAAGAGTTGAGCGAGTGTATAGGCGTTCTTGAAAATGGGGGAGCACCTCCTAAGGATGTGAGGTATTGGGTAATGTGTCTTACTGAAAAGGCCGACAAGGTTGAGGAGATGGATGTACAGAATTTGATCCCTATTAAATTCGTTATAGTACTTTATAAAGTTGACGTAGTTTGTATAAATGTCATGTGGATAATTTTTTATGGGGAAAATTACTGTGTTTTGTTGGAAGGTATAGTTCTGGTTGTCCACGAATGGCATATTCTGCTGATTTTCTTCTTTAAATTTAGGACCATCATAAATGGAACAGGGCTTTCCATTACTTTCTTTGCACATAAAGTTAAAATATTTTTCTTGAAGGTGAGAATTTTCCATTAACATTTGTAGATTTAAGTTTAATTTGGAAGCATTTGTGAATAGTTCCATTTGATATTTATTGATGTGATGTATAAGGAACTCTAAGACGGTGCATTCTGCTGAACTCGAGGATATTTTATTTTTTAAATAATGTTCTCTTCTCTTTTTATCTCCTTCGTAAACGTTACTTTCGTCACAGAGCAGATCCAACACTTTGTATCTGTCCGAGTGGTTGAACTGTAGGATGCTGTGCCAGTTGTGGAACTTGAGGTTACCAATTTCGAAGTATTTGTTGTAGTTCTTGTAGGCCAGTTTGAGAAGGATGAAGTGGCCAAGCGCTGCAGTTTTAGTGGTGGGGGAGGAAGGCATATATTTAAGTGTGTGAGGGGGTAGAGGTGGTTGGTAGTAAAAATGGGGTTCGTGGTCTGGAGGTGTTTTTTCAGAGATGGCTCGGATACATTACCTATGAAATGCGATCCTATGTAATTGAATATTCCAATGTCGAAGTAGTTGGCCCTGTGATCCAGCTTAGTCATCAATTCAATATTTGGTTGGTAAGTGAAGAGCAAATCGTTGTAGTTGATAGTATTCATGTGGAAGTCTATGGGCATATAGAGAGCGATTTTTTTTCGAATGTTTTTTCTTGATAAGGGTCTTTTTCCAAAAATTTGTTCCTTGAGCACACGGGTGCCAGTTTCTTCGTCATGATTTGGGTCACTGACGTAGGTGAATAAATCATTCAACTGGGACAAAGCATCGTGTAGTTTAGAGGTGTTTTTATATTGCTTCATAGGAATTTGCATAATTTTAATAACTTTTAGCGTCCGTACGACTAGGATTTTCTTCTTAATGAGGTCTGACTGTTCGTGTTTGTAGTCGACGGCAATTTGTGTTTGTAGCGCATGCTCATATTTGATGATGTCTTCCGCAGCCGCGTCGAGCGTCGGGACAATATATTCACGATCATGTTGATTTAACACCTGAAATGAGATCAATTTAAATTTTGAAAAATCTAAATACTTCCTAACATCACGTGTTACGATGGGTAACATCAACTGATCTTGTTCCAGTGTCTGCAGAATAATATTCTCCAGCTTGTCCAGGTTATTATATAGTTCCGCATTGTCTATGATTTTTTTCAACTCTTCTATGTTTTCATTTTTGTAGGAGCAAGCTATCTTTCTCACGAGGGTGATGACAATATAGAATATGGTTTGTTGGATAAACCAAATTTTCATTTTATTGCAATATTAGTGTCTTCCTTTTTGTGGTGTATGCATTCACTCGACGCTGTGGGGATAGTGTGTGTGTGTGTGGGGGGGGTGATTGGACAGAGGAACGGGTGTGCAAGCGGTTGCAAGGCTATGGAGATTGCTGTATGCGTGATGAAGACACAGAGGGAAGTGAAGGTTGGGGAAAGGGCAAAGTGACGCGGGGGACATGCACATGATTGTGACGTGTGTGCAATAAAAGGATTGAAAGGATGTATTCGATTTCACTTACATTTTTCAGTGTCTGTAGAGCGCGCATGTAGGTTTGCTGGCACTGGAACGTTGCAGAATGTTTCTCTGGGGAGAAAACGGGGTGGTGATGGGTGGTTCCTTGGGTATTGCGCGGTTTTGGTTGTCTATTTTGCGTTTGCCTTTTCAGGCCAGGGTTGCTCGTTCGTTAGTTCGTTTTTTTTTTTTTTTTTTTTTTTTTTTTTTTTTTTTTTTTTTTT